TTCACCAGAGACAGAGCAGGGAGCAGAACAGGCAGATCGACAAAGTACACTGCTGAGGGGAGCAGTGGGCGGGTCAGGGGAGGTCTGCCATGCCATGTGATCTCCTCCGGGGCAGGCAGGGATCGAACTCATGAGAAAGTGGCTTAATCTTCTTAGTGCAGTGCTTTAACCCGCCGCACCACCAGGGAGGGCCCATGGTTTCCATTTTTATGTCTAGGTCTTTAATACATTTCAAGATGGTTTTTGTGCATGGTGTGAGGTAGTGATCTAGTTTCATTTACTTTTGCATTTGGCTTCCCAGTTTTGCCAGCACCACTTGTTGAACAAACTTTCTTTGTTCCATCATATAATTTTAGCTCCTTTGCCAACGATTATCTGCCCATAAACCTGTGGGTTCGTACCTGGGCTTTCTATTTGAATCCACTGGTCTGTGTGTCTGTTCTTATTCTAGTACCATGCAGTCTTGATTATTATGACTTTGTAGTATAGCTTGAGGTTTGGGATTGTGATTCCTCTGTTCTACTTCTTTTTAGTCATGATAGTTTTGGCTATCTGAGGTCTTTTGTGGTTCCATGTGAATCTCATCAATATCTGTTCTATTTCTTTGAAGAATGTCATTGAGACTTTTATTGGGATGGCGTTGAACCTGTATATCGCTTTTGGTAGGATGGCTATTTTGATGATGTTAATTCTCCCAATCCATGAGCATGGGATGTCTTTCCATTTCATGGTGTCTTGTATTTCTTTTAACAGTGTTTTGTAGTTATTTTTGTATAGGTCCTTTACCTCTTTTGTTAGGGTGATTCCAGGTATTTGATTCTTTTTGTTTTAATTGAAAATGGGATTTTTTTTTTTTAATTTCTGCTTCTTTGATTGGTTGCTTTTGTGTAGGAAGGCCTCTGACTTTTGTCTGTTGATTTTATATCCTGCTATCTTACTAAACTCATCAGTTGTTTTGATTAGCTTCTCTATGGAGTTTTAGGGTTTTCCATGTAAATTATGATATCATCTGCAAATAAAGACTGTTTTACTTCTTCTTTCCCGATTTGGATTCCATGTATATTTTGTTCCTGTCTTGTTGCTATGGCTAGAACTTCCAATGTTATACTGTAGAGCAGTAGTAAGAATGGACAGAGTCATTAGTTTTTATACTAAACAATTTCCAAAGTTTTCCCAATTCCAGCATGCTCTGATTACATATCTGTAATATCATAGCCATGCAATTCCACACTATATGGAAACTTTGAAGGTTTTTTGAGTTTTGTTCCAATGTAATAATGAATATTAAGGCTTGAAAAAATATTTCTCTGTAGAAATACATTTACTTTTTTCATTAGGGGACATTTTAAATTTACCTTTTAAAAATGATTTACTTGGAGGGGGACATCCCTGGTAGCACAGAAGTTAAAGTCTCACTGTTATCATATGGTGCAGCAGACCTCTCTTGTATTTCCCACTGATCTTCTCAGCAGTTTATATCAGTAAACCTGCCTGTTCTGCTCCCTACTCTTTCTCTGGTGAATCCTTGAAACCCCTCCTCTAACCACAGCTCTGACATATACCCCAGTTCTTGCATGCTTACATAAATAAATAAATCTTAAAATATTATTTACTTTCAAATTCTTCTTGAAGGTAAACAGTGAACTCATTAGTGTAATATCAGTATCATGAAAATGTTTGGGAGCTTCTTGTTTCTGTGTCAGAAATCTTACTATAGTACAGTCTTCTGAAAATCTTTTAGATGTGCTTTATTTTGTTATAAATAAGCTGTTTATAAAAGATTTGCTCATGAAGAATTGACCCATGTGACAGTATGATACTGCATTTCATGGCTCAGTAAAGAAATATGAGGAAAGCTAAACATAAGTAGAGGTAACATAAGTAGAGGCAACAGTTCTTATGCTAAAGCACATCTGTTTGTCCCATCTGTTCATCTTAAGTAAGTATCTCCAATGTGGAAAACCAAATTCTGAGGAGGCAGAGTAGGAACAAAAACAAAGAGTATATAGGCACTGTTCTAAAGAGCTTATAGTGTTGTAGGGAGACATAACTACCTAAGAACAGAAGAAATAATGAAAAACTAACCTTGAGATACAAAAATGAATGCTATTTAACAAGGCAAAGACATACTGAAGTTGACCTTGATCACCGAATCTTTGTATTTCATTTGACTCTTCATTTGAGTAATGAAATTATAATTTAAATGCATGAATAAAATGTATCAGAAGTCCCCACTCTTATATAGACAGGTGTTTCCCAGCTGGGGAGAGACCCTGATTAATATGGGTAAAGGGTGAGTTTTTACCTGAGTGCATGGTTTCTTGCCACACTTGGCTGACGCTCCTGCAGCATGTCAAAAATATTTGGTTGGCGAAGAAATGCCACAATCTTGTCATTATATGCTGAAACAAACAAAGTTGTGGTTGAATCTTTAGCTCAAAGAGCTAAATGACAGAAAAATTGCTGCCTGATACCAATATTAATATAGGGCCGGTAGTATATTCATCACTAAATGTAAGTTCTTGAGTTTTCTTTTTGTGATATGACAGTATTAGAAATTTTAACAAATCAAACCAGAAGCAAATTAGATGTAAGTTAATCACTCTTAATATTTCAGGAACTTAACTGAATGCTTACTCATCCTATATGAACAGGTGAAGAATAAAGTGAATATCCCCTCAGAGAGTTCATCTCTTTTTTAATTTCTCTTGTTTTACTACTGCTATTATGACAAAATATTATTTATGCATTCAAATAAATCCCTTTTTGGGCAACTGACACTTGTAGCTATTGCGATGGGTTGATTTTCCAAGAATGACAATTATTCAAATCCATTTCTTATCTTCATCTCATTTGCCTTGATACAAGTGCTAAATATTTTTCTATGAGAGAGCTGATGTGGCGATAAGACTATGCTGACTTATCCCCATAAGAAGAGGCATATAAATTAAAAGCTGCATGTAAAGTAACACAATCTATCACCTAGTTTAAATTATTACGTCTGGGACTCAGTTTCAATAAATCACTGAAAGGAATGAAGATGTAAGGAAATGAGGTTCTGGAAGTGAGTAGAAGAGAGATGGAAGGGAAGAGATAGAACACAGTAAGGAGGAAAGAAAAAAGGAAAATGGGAAAAAGGAAGTGTGGGAACAGAAGATAAGGGAGTATATTTTACAATGAAAGAGGAGAGAGAAAATACAGAATCCTATTACTACAGAATTGATGATAAGGAAAACAAGGGTAAGTGTTATGTTTCTAGGGGGTTCAAAAATGATACATACCCAGTGGCAACGATTCTTGTTGATACTGACTTCGAATAGCAGCTACTAGGCTGTGTGCTGGTCTGGCCAGTAAAGAGGCTCCTCTGTTTCTAGAGACTTCTGAAGCCTAATTTCAAAATAAAATCATTAATACTGGAAATTTGTCATTCATTTCAATGGTCTTTTGCTATCAACTTTTCAATATGTGAGTAAAACACCCTGAAAAAGGATCTAAGTTAAAAGAAGTAATAAAGTTAACAAATCTCAGTGTTAGAAAATGAACGTTTAAAAAATTTAGTGGGGTTGATGTGCTCTATCATAGTTTTAAATAAAGTGTGTTAAGTACTTAATGTACTTAACAAATTAGGGTTTTTCTTTAATAAATGGAAATAAATTATATATAAATTCTAGGTTTTTAACCCTCATTTTCAAGTGGTAGTTTAAAATTCAATGAGGAATGAACTTACAATTATAAATAGCATTTATTACAGTGAAATGGCCTTTCTTTGTTTAGTGTCTATTCAAACATTCTCTATGCCTGCTACTCTTCACATATCTTACATTCTAACAAAATTTTTCAAAGTAATCATATTAAGCTCAGTTAAAAATGGGGACTGTGAGGTTTGGAGAAAATTAAGTCTTTCTAACATTTTCAACATAAAAGATAAAACTTGGATCTTAATTAATACTTAACTGCAAAAGTCCTTGGTTACTTTTCACATTCCATTAGCCTGAATTCACTGTCTTAGTTTGGGGTGGGCATTTTGACAAAACTCCATGGAATGACTTTCTTAACTTAAAAATTATATATTTTTGATAATTTGTCAATTTAAAATTTTAACAAGTTTTCCAAGTTCTAGAGCATGATAAGGAATTTTCCACCACTGTACCGCCATATACTTTGTATCGCCATGACACCATACACATTTAAGACCTCTTTTCAAAGTAAACTATTTAAACTACAGATTTTCAAGTGGAGTTCATTCACCAGATTTATGAGGTTTGGTGTAGAATATGTCTCACTCTATGGTACTTGGCAAAGTATGCTAAAAAAAAAAAAAAGATGTAAAAGCATGTAAGATTTTTTTTCCTTTTTTTAAAATTTTTTTTAAATATAACAATTTATTTTTACATGATTTTGTGCCTTTTTCCATCTCATTTGTATTCCCTGTGGAGTTCCCATTACAAAATCACCCATGTGCCATCACCATAGTCCAGTGCACTTCTCCATCCCCCACTCCCAATTTTTGATCCCATTCCCCATTCTACCTCCTAAAATGACTCTGGTATATAGTTGTTTATTATTATTATTATTATTATTACTTCCCCCTGGAGAAAAGCATGTAAGAATTTTAAATATTATTCTGTAAGAATTTTATAAAGACCTCAAATATCCAGGCCAAAAGGAAAGATAATTCTCTCTGAAATCAGTAGAAAATTCATTTACACAGAATTCAGGAGAGGTGATGAGATCCTATGTTACAAATCCACCAAGGTCATCAACTCCAAAGTAATCACTTAAGACTAGGTTGTGTGCAGATGGAAAGCTAGAGCATATAATTTAGAGTTTTTAAATTAAAGACATGGTATTTACTGGTTTTCCATTGAGTTCTGCTTCTATGAACAGGCAAGAATTGACACGAGCTATGCCACATATATGACGGACATCTTCCGGGTAGATCGGAAAAAGCTCTGAAAAATCAGAATTTCCACTGCTAACTTATGTTATGACCTCCCTTTTTTGTATAATCATAATATCAAAACATTTTGAGCAACATTCAGTTTACAACTGGATTATTTTAGCCTCATAAGGCAGCTGCCTGGTTCAGGCAAGCTGCCCCATGGAGAGAAATTCCTGTCTTCTGAGACAGAAGGCAAGCCCCAGGAGAGATAAGACTCCAGGGAATAAAAACTCCTGGGAGGCTTCCTTGGTTTATTTATATAAAAAAGCAAACCTCAGATAAGACTACCAGGACTCATGGACAAATTTTAACCTTGTCTACACAGGTGTTGTTTGATACACAACTGTTACAACTTTCTCTTAATTTACTCCTTTTAAAAACAAGCACTAAAAGTGCTAGTGGCTAGCCTTAAATTAGCCACTAGCTTTTCTTTAGACAATCACTGATAACACTGCTAACACAATTTATTACTACCCCAAGACCCCTAACAACCTTTTGCGAAAAAGCTCACCCCTTCCCAGACCCCTCTTCCTTTGAGTGATAACTAAACAGCTGTATACATGATAATTATCACAATTACATACAATCTAGTATACCATAATATGTTAAGAGAAAAATGCTTTGTTCCCCTTGTCCTTGAGAACGTGTTATGGTGACATCTCATTAGCTTGCCCTGTGCATTATTGCAATTGGCTACTTGTTTCACAGTATAAATAAAGACCTGCTGAGGGAATGGCAGGAAGACTTGCACCCAATCCTGACTCTTGTGTATTCCTCGCGCCCGCTCCTCTCTCCCCTTTTGGAATCTCCGCTTGCCGATGCCTTCCCACCTTAGGGCCCTGCCTGTCTTGCCTCCAGACACCTCAATAGTTGGAGCTGGTCTCCAACAAAGAATAATATCTTTGGTATGGGTTAACAGTTCACTATCTCTGTGTGACAGTCTTTGAGTAGCCCTTCTGGAAGTTTGTTCTTTTTCATATTTTTACTATATAATTTATTCATTTACATATATTTTACATAACTCCATTTTTTTTACAAGGTTTCCTTTCTTTTCTCAGGTGTAGTCCCCATAGGATTTTTACCACCAGTTTACCCAGCACCATCACCATAAACCCTTGTGCTCTTCCCTCCCTTGTTTTGATCCCTCTCACTCCCCTGCAAATTGTCTCTTATTTATAGTTGACTATTTTTTTATTGTTATTTATTCTCTAATGCTTTATTTTGTTCTCCTATATTCCTCTTATAGGTGCAATCATGTGCTATTTTACTTTTTCCTTTTGGCTTATTTCACTGAGCATAATCCCTCAAACTCCATCCATGTTGCTTCAAATGCATGAATTTATCTTTTTTTTTTAAGATTTTTTTTTATTTATTCATACAGAATTGGGGCATAGGCTAGAGATGCAGAGGGTGAGAGGATTCACCAGGGACAGAGTGGAGAGCAGAATAGGCAGATCGATGAAGAACACTGCTGAGGGGAGTAGCGGGCGGGTCAGGAGAGATCTGCTGTGCCATGTGGATCTCCTCTGGAGCTGGCAGGGGTTGAACTCATGCGGAAGTGGCTTAAGCTTCATAGTGCAGTGCTTTAACCCACTGAGCCACCAGGGAGGGCCCGAATTTATCTTTTATAAATTACTGGGTAGCATCCCATTGTGTATATACTACATCTTCTTGATCCAGTCATCTATTATTGGGCATTAGGGCTATTTCCATAGATTGCCTTTTACAAATAGTGCTGCAATGAATATAGGGTACTGGTATGCTTTTGAATTAATGTTTTGGTGTAATTGGGTAGATGCCTAGGAATGGAATTGCTGGGTCATATAGTTGCTCCATTTTTAGTAGTCTGAGGAACCTCTATACAGCTGTCCATATTGGTTGGACAAGTTTGCATTCTCACCAGCAGTGTAGGAGAGTTCCTTTTCACCACATCCTCACCAACATTTGTTGTTGCTCTTCTGTTAAATATGTGCCATTCTTACAGGTGTAATGTGATCTTGTGGTTCTTATTTGAATTTCCCTGATGATGAGGGATGTTGAGCATTTCTTCATTAACCTGTTGGCCATTTGTATTTCCTCTGTGGAGAATTATCTTTTAAGTTCTTCTGCCAATATTTTAACTAGATTGTTTACTTTGATCTTGTTGAGGTGTAAGTTCTTTATATATCTTTGTGATTGGTCCCTTTTCAGTTGTATGGAGTACATAAATTTTCTCATAATCAGTAAGGTGTCTCTTTGTTTTGGTTAATGTCTCTTTTGCTGTACAGAAGATTTTTAGTTTGATGTAATCCCAGCTGTTTATCTTTTCCTTCACATTCTTTGCTTTGGGAGATGAGTCTTTAAAGATGTTACAGAGATGCATGTCTTGTAGTTTTTTACCTATATTTTCTTCTATATATTTTAAGATTTCAGGTTGTATGTTCAGATCTTTTATCCATTTGTGCATGGTGTGAAGTAGTAGTCTAGTTTTCATTCTTTTGTTTATGGTGGCCTAGTTTTCCCAGCGCCAGTTATTGAACAAACTGTTCTTGTTTCATTGCAAATTCTTTGCTCCTTTGTCAAAGATCCGTTGTCCATATATGTGCAGCTTTTTTCTGGGCTTTCTATTTGATTACATTGGTTATGTATCTGTTTTTGTTCCAGTACTATGCTGTTTAAATATTATGACTTATAGTTGTTTGAAGTCTGGGAATGTGACACCTCCACTCCCCATTGTTTTAATAAGGAGAGCTTTCACTATTCAGGGTTTTGGTAGCTCCATATGAATTTCATCAATATTTGTTCGACTTCTTTGAAGAATGTCATTGACATTTTTATTGGAATAACATTGAATCATTAAATTGCTTTTGGTAGAATGGTCATTTTAATAATGTTGATTCCTGTAGTCCATGAACAGGGGATCAGGAGAAGCCTTTCCTTTTTTTTTAAGATTTATTTGTGCATACAGAACTGGGGTACAGGCCAGAGGCTCAGGGGTGGTGAGAGGCTTCACCAGAGACAGAGCGGGGAGCAGAACAGGCAGATCTATGAAGTCCACTGCTGAGCAGCGGGCGGGTCAGGAGAGGTCTGCCACGCCATGTGGTCACCTCCGGGGCAGGCGGGAATCGAACCCATGCGGAAGTGGT